CTGACATGTTATATGGCGAAGTTCTCCATACCCAAAAATCACGACTGCATCAACATCTCTCCATATCTAAAGATCATGACTGCATCAACATCTCTCCACAGCCAAAGATCATGACTGCATGAACATCTCTCCACAGCCAAAGATCATGACTACATCAACAACTCTCCATATCCAAAAAGAATTACTGCACCAACAACTCTCCACAGCCAAAGATCATGACTGCATCAACAACTCTCCACAGCCAAAGATCATGACTGCATCAACAACTCTCCACAGCCAAAGATCATGACTGCATCAACAACTCTCCATATCTAAAGATCATGACTGCATCAACAACTCTCCACAGCCAAAGATCATGACTGCATCAACAACTCTCCACAGCCAAAGATCATGACTGCATCAACAACTCTCCATATCTAAAGATCATGACTGCATCAACAACTCTTCACAGCCAAAGATCATGACTGCATCAACATCTCTCCACAGCCAAAGATCATGACTGCATCAACATCTCTCCACAGCCAAAGATGATGACTGCATCAACAACTCTCCATATCCAAAAAGAATTACTGCACCAACAACTCTCCACAGCCAAAGATCATGACTGCATCAACAACTCTCCACAGCCAAAGATCATGACTGCATCAACAACTCTCCACAGCCAAAGATCATGACTGCATCAACAACTCTCCATATCTAAAGATCATGACTGCATCAACAACTCTCCACAGCCAAAGATCATGACTGCATCAACAACTCTCTACAGCCAAAGATCATGACTGCATCAACAACTCTCCACAGCCAAAGATCATGACTGCATCAACAACTCTCCATATCCAAAGATCATGACTGCATCAACAACTCTCCATATCCAAAGATCATGACTGCATCAACATCTCTCCACAGCCAAAGATCATGACTGCATCAACATCTCTCCAGAGCCAAAGATCATGACTGCATCAACAACTCTCCATATCCAAAGATCATGACTGCAACAACAACTCTCCATATCCAAATATCATGACTGCATCAACAACTCTCCACAGCCAAATATCATGACTGCATCAACAACTCTCCATATCCAAATATCATGACTGCATCAACAACTCTCCATATCCAAATATCATGACTGAATCAACAACTCTCCACAGCCAAATATCATGACTGCATCAACAACTCTCCATATCCAAATATCATGACTGCAACAACAACTCTCCATATCCAAATATCATGACTGCAACAACAACTCTCCATATCCAAAGATCATGACTGCATCAACAACTCTCCACAGCCAAATATCATGACTGCATCAACAACTCTCCACAGCCAAAGATCATGACTGCATCAACAACTCTCCATATCCAAAGATCATGACTGCAACAACAACTCTCCAAAGCCAAAGATCATGACTGCATCAACAACTCTCCATAGCCAAAGACTATTCTCTGTATCTGAAGGTTGAGATTTCATCCAACATTCCCCATATCCAAAGAATATAACTGCCTCAAGCATTTTCAATTTCCAAAGAACATAACAGCAAATAATCCCCATGCCTAAGTCACAGTGCAATAGTTCCCTGGTAATACAGTGAGCCACACAGATGTGGTGCACTTAACAGACACTGAGACACTAAGAGAAATTCTGGTGCCAATAATAAATGTAGATATGTACTCATAGTTTGTTTCAGACCTTTTGAGTGTTTCAAGACCATTCTGTAAGGTAGTTGCTTTTTAAATTACTATTCATTCCTTTTTTTTAAAAATTTATTTAACAACAAAACAATATGATATAGTACAAAGAAACCTTCGCTCTAAAAATGCAGCCCTGAGAACAATTGCTTATAAACAAAAATGCTGAAGTCAACATCAAAATACTGGGGTGTACTGTTTAAATAACAACCTGTACTGTTTTAGTTAACATGTCCTTGCCTCAATAACTGAGTGGATTGTTTCAATAACTGAGTCGACTGTTTCAATAACTTAGTAGACTGTTAACAGTAATGGCATGTTCTCTTTCAATAACTGAGATGACTATTTCAATAACTGCTGCACGTTTCGAAGCTAAGCCATATATATATATATATAGTTATATCTGTGTCTTTTGGTTTTTGTGTGTGCTGATGATGGCTTTTTAACTGTAATATCCAAAAAGACTGACCAGTTCTACATTTTGTTTTGAAAACTGACTGCTAGTATTTGTACATCAACTAACTGCACTACCCTCAAGAGTATGATAATGTAGCTGCTGGGACAAAATAGGAGATTCAGGGCTCATAGATTATATTGTCTGCACATAGCCTAGGATGCAGTGAGTGTGACAGATCCCTAAGTTTGAACCTGGGGAGACTAAACTCCCCTTTGCTCCTTGGGTAGTGGACAAGATGTTTATTCTTCTCAGACAATGGTGAAAAATATATATGATTGTTAAAGTCAATTGTATATCCTTTACAGGATGTTACTAAACCAACTCCAGAATTTTTAGGGGGTTATACTGGGCAATTTTAGATTCAGTAGTTTGCTATTTCTTCTGAACAGTCAGCTCTCCATTTCATTGCTGAAATCAACACAAAGCATTCTGAGAAATCGTCTGTAGCTGGAATCATACCAGGTACACTGGAACTACAAAGCATTGCCTAACCACAGATGTCAACATATAAAGTTTCATGTTGAAAATAAGCAACATTTCTTGACACTGTGAAGTGTAAGCTCATACTGTTCTGAAGCGAGCACAACAGATCCAGCAGTAGCTCTCTTTAGCTTAGGGAAACTGTCTTACTTCAACTTGTGTCAATTTTCCCTAGATAGTTCCATTATCAGTAAATCACAACACATAGCATATGTTCTAAATGGGTAGAAAGCATTCAGAAGCTGCATAAAACCTCCCTCCCCTGGATCTATACACCTCAGACCTGGCAATGCCAGCGTGAAAGGCAACAGATGAGCAGGCCAACTTACAATGCATGTGGGAAGAAGCAGAGACGGAACAGATATTATCAATGCTCTACAAACTAGAGTAGTTGACAACATCAAATCTCCGACACTATCAAGACTGGGTGACATGGGAGTAAAGCATGGTGAAGCACATCTAAGACATAGGGACAGGAGATATTACCAGCTCCTCATGGGAACAATCAGTAGAAATATCTTTGTGTGGCTGCTGCACTGGAGTACTGAGCACGCATGAGAATGCCCAATGTACAGTGACATCGACTGTGATAACATAAGGTTCCACCTACACTTATGAACATGAATCTACCTATAGGTAGGTTTCCTTAGGCATCTATTTTGCCAGGGTTAAGCCTTATGATCCACTCTTCACATTTTCCAGCTGGCATTAGATCTTTTAGGTTAGCAACTTGGATAATGGACACCCTCATTGTTCTGATCCCAAAAGTCTAAGTAACCGTCACTAACAAAGTTATTATTAGGTATACATTTTTATATACACTCTCATTCTTCTACTGGGATTTAAACAAGACTAACTCTAACCCTGAACTAGACACCACAACCTTTCAGCCATGCCGCCACCTCCATGCCTGGTTAGGAAAAGTTAAACCAATAGCTGATTGAAAGAAAAAGGAGTATACTGAGGATAGAAAGAATTAAAGTAACAACGATAACTGTGTGAACAAAATATATGGAGGATGGAAAGAAAGCGCCTAAGTAACAGTATTGACCCTGAAAGAAATATGTGATGAAGAGACAGGAGTCAAAGCAAAGTAAGAATAGCAACTATTTGGCAGTGTAACAACTATCCATGTTTGTGTACCAAGTGCAGAAAAGATAAGTTTATTAACTACAGATATCAAGAAATTTGCAAATATAAAAAAAAAATATATAAAAATTACACAACATACAAACAATCAATATTGTTCAGCACCAACAAAATGATTTATCTTTATTCCAAAGTCAAGTCATCAGTGAAACAACACAGATTCTGACAGTCAACTAGTTAAGCCAGCCAGACAACACAGCAGTGACAGGTCAGTTTCAGCCAGCACTGCCTACGCAGGCTGTCAGAAGTATTTGTTCATATTCTCTGAATATCATCCACCACACAAATATATAAACCAAGTGCTTAAGTCGGCGTCTGTGGCTTAGGCATTGTGGTCGTGCTTCGTAATGCCGTTTCAATCCCAGCTGCGGGCCTTGCGCTTGTTTCAACAGTGATATCAGGAAGCCGGCTGTCCAAATAACAATGGCAAACTACTGGACATGAATTTGCCTAGAAAAACCACAACAGCCAAAAAATGCTGGGGTTGGTTCTGCAATGTCTAGTTCACTATGTATTAGTCAACACAATTATAATTAACTAAGCAGAAATTAATTAGGAAAATCTAGTTCACTAAGTATTTGTCATTGAAGTTCTAATCAGTTCACTATGTATTAGTCATTGAAGTTCTAATTCACTAAGCATGTCACAGAAAAAATCTAGTTCACTCATTATAAATCATAGAAGATTACTCAGTATAAGTCATAGATGAAGATCTATTTCACTAAACATAAGCCACAGAAGAAGGTATGAAGATCTATTTCACTAAACATAAGTCACAGAAGAAGGTCTAGTTTACTCAGTACAAGTCACTGAAGAAGATCTAGGACACTATGCATAAGTTAATGAAGATCTATTTCACTAAGCATAAGTCATAAAAGAAGTTCTAGTTTACTCAATATGAGTCACTGAAGAAGATCTAGGACACTATGCAAAAGTCAATAAAGATCTATTTCACTTTGCATAAGTCAGCGAAGATCAACTTCACCAATGTAAGCCACTGAAGAAGGAAGATGATCTAGAAAACAAAACATAAGTCGCCATAGTAAATCTAGTTCACTAAGTTTAAACACTGTGCACCAAGTTGTAAAACAAATGATTCAATCTCTTTTATTGCTGTTGCATAAAAATGAACTCTTCCAACATCACGCTCTCTGCTGGACTGTCCTCCTTATTTTCTCTTCATCGAAACGATTAAATACAAATGGATATCTAACACTAGGCTACAGCTAAAACAAACCGAAGAATGGGTTTGCATAGGCCATTGGTTTCACGTTTGGATGTGGCTGAAAAGGGACAAATAAAGATAAAACATTTTTAGAGACGAAGTGACAGGAAAATGCCACAATTAGTGACTAAACACATAAAGCAAAGCATTTAGGTTTACTGTTTAAAACTAAAAACTAGGACTGCAGTCTCAGTGACTCAAAGAGCTCCAAAAGGAGAAATCCCTTTCCACTACACAGCACAGCCTCATTAGGTCCTCCAATAGTTATGAAGTAACCTGTCGTCCAATCTGAGCGAGTTGGAATCAGTTATTAGTTCATAAGTATAGAATGTAAGTCGTTTATCATAATGTTAAAGTTTCTACACGCATACACACCCACCCACACACACAACTGTAGGCAGCTAGATGTATGTGTGTGTTTACAAATGTAGTGTGTGTGTGTGTGTACATTTGTTAGCCCATGTAGCAAACTGGCCCCAGCAGCTGGTGTATTATTTTCCCATTCAATGTTTACTCTTAGCAGTTTGCCATTGTGTTCTGAACTGCGTGATACACCCAACACTGCCACAATCAACACATAGTAGTTGGCCACAAAACTGCTTTCAACTGACTTCAAACTTTGTTATGTCGGAATCATTAGGCCATAGAATCCACACATACACTTTCTCCTTGACTTTTGACCTTTGTGACTTACCACTAACCGCATGGTCACAACAAATAAGTAAACGAAATAGCAAATAAAAAAAGACAACATCGGAAGGGCGTAAAAAACTTTTTTGCAAAACTGTCAGGAGTGCAGCAGGGTTTAATTATACGTACATAGCCTGAATGTTTGTTTTATGTTCAATTTTTAATAACCTGTTTGAAGGACTAGAGTACTAAAACATAAAATCTGACTTATGTCCAGTCTCATTTACAAACTATTAGTTGGTCATATGTCAAGAGGACTCTATGAAATTTATTTGCATGTAGTATGTATGTATGTATGTATGTATGTATGTATGTATGTATGTATGTATGTATGTATGTATGTATGTATGTATGTATGTATGTATGTATGTATGTATGTATGTATGTATGTATGTATGTATGTATTTATGTATGTGAATGTGATATGCATATGTGAATGAGGTAAGTATGTATGTATGTATACTTGTAGAACGAAAGTGCATAAGTCTTGTTGGTATATACATATGAAAGATCTGAATGTGTGAAGCTATGTATATATATGTGAACAGTGAATGAAATTATGCATGTATGTTATAAATTTAGCATGTATGTTACCTACAGGACTAAGAACCAGCCTCAGTTCCAAACTAAGAACATATGTAGCACATTTGTAGGTACGCGTGTGTATGTATATGAACATGTATTAATGTGTGCATGCATGTGTGTGCAAGTATACTGTCACTTTTTGTTCACAGATTAGAACACCTCCTTACAATGATAAAATAATTAATCAACACTGGCTGCAACATATCACACAACATATCAACTGCTCACACAGGTGGCAATATATCACATGAGACACAGAGAACTACTATCATTGGCTGCAATATATCACACAAGAGAATGAGAATTGATAAACACTGCAGTATATCAACCAAGACACTGAGAACTACTAACATTGACTGCAACATATCACACAAGACAGTGAGAACTACTAATATTGGCTGCAACATATCACACAAGACAATGAGCTGCTCATACTGGCTGCAACATATCACACAAGACAATGAGAACTGCTCATACTGGCTGCAACATATCACACAAGACAATGAGAACTGCTCACACTGGCTGCAACATATCACACAAGACAATGAGAACTGCTCACACTGGCTGCAACATATCACACTAGACAATGAGAACTGCTCACACTGGCTGCAACATATCACACAAGACAATGAGAACTGCTCACACTGGCTGCAACATATCACACTAGACAATGAGAACTGCTCACACTGGCTGCAACATATCACACAAGACAATGAGAACTGCTCACACTGGCTGCAACATATCACACAAGACAATGAGAACTGCTCACACTGGCTGTAGCACAACACACTGGACTACTCACCACTGCTTCATAGGATGTGAACTTAGGCTTGAGGTTATCCCCTGTTATATTGATGTAGGCCCCTTTGTTTCCCATGGAATCACTACAACAACAAACAGCATTTCTTAATCAGTGTGGATACTGTCATCTAAGTAGGAGTTAACTTTATGGTGATAAAACAAGTCAATGATGAGTACATGGGGGACACAGAGCCAGATCACTCGTCAATACTCTTTTTCTTTACGTTCACTAGCTCTAAACTCAGGCAAAAAGTTTGTTTGTCCACTTCTGCACTTTAGTCTTGTTCAAGAACTTTTGTTTTGTGTGTACACCTGTTTGTTTTACAGATAAGGATTATCTGTATGCAGACTGTCAGTTCCTCGCCCCACGTGCAGATGTACTCCAACCTCTAATTTTTTGGCTTTTATGAATAGCCTGGGGAGGGGGGGGGGGGGGGGGGAGAGTGAGTCTATTCATTTCTCCCCCCTCCCCCATACACAATGGGGCCCCGGAACCCACAAGGAGATGTTCAATACTGTTCTTTTGACCCCCTACAGGACTGCAGCCTGAATGACTGAAACCCTATGACACAAAGAGCCACTTTTCAGGTGCAAATCTTAACTGGGGCAAATTCCAGACCATATAAAACATGTATACAGGGAAATCCTACAGCTGTAACATAACCTGCTGCCCGGTGTAAAAAAAAATTGGGGGGGGGGGGGGGGGGGCATGTGTCCAGTTTGCAGAAGACTTATTTCTCTGCAAAGTCATCACTGACTAGGAATATGATGCAGAGATAACAGTCATACACTTATTACTTAGTGATACAATTATTACAGTATATTACAGATCATTCTACTATATTGTAAAAGATATATTACTCTTTAATCTACACAACATAATATTCCAATACAGAGAACTAGGCATGGCAGAATGTTTAGCTTTAAAGTTATTTTTGCTAATGCAGTTTCTACATATGGGCATACGACTATGGTTGCTGCCTGAGCTATTGAGTTTAATGCTTAATGCAGCATTGTGAGCTGTGTTTTTCATATGGAATGCCTTTCATTTGTGCAGCAGCTGAACATTCAATATGGCCTTTAGCCGGTGTAATTGTGGGCTGGCGAAGTCGCTTAGAATTTTACGTCAGTATAGTCAACTTATCATGTTGAGCTTCTTCCATCAATGACAAACTGCATTTCTGGTAGCAACTGTTAGCTTTAGCGCCTCCAGCAACTGTCATGTGCATTTACTGTGTGCAAATATTTTTTGGATTGTGCAGGGACTAATTATTCTTGATCAGTTTTTCAAACGGGACAGTGAGGGACATTTGATTTGATTTTCGCTGGCACATAAACGTAGCATGTATGGGGTGACTTGACTGCAGTGAAGTTAAATCCTCAACTAAGACTTATACTGATCTAAAATTTGTCAACATTGCTAGTAATATGGTGTAAAGAAGACAGTGATTAAACATTGTTCCAGACCATTCTACAATAATCTGAAAGATCTATTCTTCTGTAAACTCATGTGAAGCTGTCCAGGTGTGTATCCAAAACTTTATATCATCCTGACATTTATTAATATTTTGTTTCATTTTTTTTTAAACATATCTAAATACCACAATGTAGCTATTTCAGCCATTTCATTGTTTTTTGTTGTGTTTTCTTCTTCTTGTTTGTTTGAAGAGGCTTATTGTTTTGTGGGTTGTGTTTTTACTTGTTGTTTGCTAATGAAGGCTTGTCGCTGCATCTGACAAGAATGTCCTGATATCAGAGAGAGCCATGCTGAAGAAAAACGACCATCAAAATATCAAGGGAACATTTAAATGATAACAAGAACAGCCTCAAAGAAATGAAGATCAACAAAGCAAAGCTTCAGAAAGAGCACACAGATGAGCTTTACATCTCTCCCCAGCACTCCGATGAGGTCGCTGGAGGACGAGCAGAAGAACAGAAAGAAACTTCACATGCTGAACAAACAACATAACAACATGTAACTTGCCAGCTCTTACCAGTAATTTGGTGCAGAAAAGACAGTGATACACTTGCCATCATGCATGCACTCGTAGCCTTCATTCTTCACTTCATGACTACGCACAATATAGTCTAGATTATTCCGCTCTAAGAACCGCTTGGTGACATCTGGCCCAAACTGTACACCTACTCCTCGTTTACTCGGAGAACGTCCATTCTGTGGCTGGGGGTCTGACCACAACAGCTCACACATGATACCTGTACAGGACATGAAGGTTAACTGAATCAATATTGACTCGAACAAAAGCACCCCATGATGGTTCTGAAGCCCCAATACTGGATAGGAAAAACAAATACCCACTGCTCCCCTGACAAAACTTGTAAAATGTTACTAATTAAGGGTTAGGAGAAATCGGATCTGTTGAGTCAAAGTTCGTGGATATCGCAGCCTACCTGAAAAACATAAAACAAAGTTTTATTCAGTTATTCTTCTCTGAAACTAAAGGGTTGGAAGTCACTATAACACAAGATCCTGTGTGGGTTTTGGGCCCTATTATAGGGAAAACAAGAAAAGACCCACTGCCTACCCAAAAGAATGTTGTTACAGTCGACTATTTGGGGGCTTCCTTCAAAGTCGGAGTGCATCTGCCTGAGAGGCAAGGGACCAACAGTCTGCACACAAATTTGTCAGATCTGTCAAACGGATGCACACGCAACACTCGGGTTCTGGAACAGGACTGCCGTCCAGAAGTGGACAAACAACCAAAACTTTCCACCAGCTGGTGAACGCAAAAAAAAGAAGAACAACTATAACACAAGGACTAACATGCTTGCCTGCTGGCCACACACTTATGTGTTCGAATCCTCATCAAGGCAGTTCTTACAAAATGACCGCCAGGTCAACCAAGCCAACAAAACACCAAAAATGGTACCAGGAATTGTTCTAGAAAGTAAAGATAGTTGGTACAATAATGGGAAAAGGTCCTTTACTTTTCACTGTTATATCTATTTTATGGCTAGAAGACAGAGGTGCTAGGTTTGTGACTGACAAACCAAATTATGTCAAATGTACAAGACTGTAGAATGACATGTTCCTCTACAACCAGGGTCAGAAGATAAGAGAGGTTCCTGTGATGTACCTCTATGATCTGTGTCCAATATATAAGAAGCAATGAGTTAAAGACAGCTTACAGAAAACTAACAACAAGGGCAGTGTAACAATAAGAATACAAGGGAGACACACATACCGTTCTCTGGTGGCTGCCTGTTCCTGGGTGTTTTAGCAATATCATCTAATGTTACATCATCTGAAGAAAACAGGCCACCATGCATGACCTGAAACAGATGACATACAAAACATTGTCAATAAGCAACATAAATAAGGCAATATGTCTTATGGGAAGGCAATCTCTGTCTTATAGGAAAACCCGCTGTATAAGCAGATGAAATACAACACATCATCACTGTGCAATATGTTTTCTTTGTTGTTATTGATCCAGCGGAGCATGAGCTTTTGCCCTTTGGCCCAATGCCATGTAGTGGAATTTACATGTTTTCACAAGCTGTTCTTTTCCTCCGTGTTCCACCTGTCTGGTCTCGAAGGGAGTAGCATTCTTCTAGTCTCGTTGAGTTTTAGACACTCAAAGAGATGATGGTTAACAGTTTTGTAGGGGTAGTTACATAGCTGGCACTCTGGGGAGTGTTGTGGCTGTATTCTGTTTAGATGACCATTGAGTGGAGTATGCTGTGTTCTGAGTCTGAAGATGGTGGCCTAGTCCCTTTTTGTTAAATGGTTAATGCTGTCGTTAGGATCAGGGCCAGCCATATGTCTATAAACCTCTCTTCTAGTATCTCCCATGTCCTGAGTCCCTGTGCCTTCACGATAGTTTCCGGTATTCAGGGGGTTAGCATACTTGTTTCCACTCCTAAGACTGTTCAGCACCCCTCCGGCTCCTCCCCTCCCACAGGGGGCAGTACGGTGTGGTGCACAGGTTTTTTTTATCAAGTTTTGCTCCTCTAGATCCATTGTGTTTTGCCTGGGGATCTATACCCCCAGTTACCAGGACTACCTCAGGGAGGGTGTGGCTCTTTGCCATGCACACTGGTCTTAGGATTGTTGTTGTTGTTGACGATCTAGTTGCCCTAACTCATGCTTAGAGCCAAGAAGAGCTCTGCAAAACCTGCAGGCAATCTAGTGGCGGGGAATGAGCACACTGTTCTATGTGTCAAAGGGGAAGGCAGAAACACAATCCATATTTTCCTAAGAACTGACACAGCGCCCTTCTGGCTGCTGTACGAGGAGGGAGGTAATCCACAGACATACTAGCACCACAATGCCATCACTGAGCAATATAAATAAGGTTGTCTTTGTCTTATAGGACAAACTGTTATATAAACAGCCTGTGTTGGTAGTTGTGGTGGCATTCTAACAAGATGATCAACTGTTTCTTAAAGAATTTGGTGCATGGTTTTAATGTTCTCACAGTTTGATGGCATCACATCTCACTTTGTCTTGGATGATTAAGCTGGCGGCTTTCCTGTTCTCATCATCTGCAACACCACACCTTTACCACTTCCACACAAATTTTTAACCAAACAATAGGTAACAAACAAGGAGTAAATTAAACAATAAGAACACATGTTTAGTTAGTTGTGTGTTCTTTACAGGACGTTGCAGAACCAACCCCTGCACTTTTTTTTGGCTGTTGTGGTTTTTCTAGGCAAATTTTACGTTCAGTAGTCTGTCACTGCTTTCTGAGTGGTCAGTTCTTGGTACCATTGTTGAAACTAAAGCAAGACAAATCGTCTGCAACTGGGATCGAACCAGGCACTTCAGCATTACAAAGTGCATAAGCAACACCTAAGCTACAGATGCCGATACATACAACAGTAACTTACCAGAATCTTTTTATTAATACAGTGGGCAAGAGGAAGCCAGTTAAAGACTTCAGTGAAGAGTTCACAGAGCTGTAATGAGTATCTAAGAGAATAAGTCATGGAAAACTGTACCTAATCTCATGGAATTTATATTGTTACAAGTGAGACAAGAAAATATTCACATCTTGAGGTGCATCAAGCACATGGTGTACTTTTATATACTGTTAAATAAAAAAAAAAGAAAAGAAACGCATAGTAACTGAAAGGAACAAACCTACTCACAATTTTGACATTCTGCATCTTCGTAATGCAGTAAATGAAATTCACACAAAAATATCTTAGGGTTCCACCAATCATTCAACATCTTTTTTTGCGTCTGGGTCACGATAATTTTTAAGTGTAGGCCTTTCCCGATAGTATGGTTTGTGGACTCCTCTTGGGTGTATCAGTGACTGACATCTCCTAGGCATGGATGAGATCAGATGTCTGATGTCGGCCTGTGGGATGGCTGCCCACTCTTCCTGGAGTGCCTGAAACAGATCACGACCATTGGCTGGAGCAATGTTTCGGCGACAAACACGTCTTTGCAGCTCATCCTATAGGCGCTCAATCGGACATGTCTGCAGACAGGGATGGCCAAGGAAGGGTTTGAATGTTATTGGCAGCCAGGAACTGAGTGGTCAGCTATGCAGAATGGGGTCTGGTGTTGTCCTGTTGAAAAAGATATCTGCTGGCATCCCAAAATGGAAGGACATGTGGTCGAAGAATTTCATGGATGTATCTTGCACATTCAAGCTTCCTTCAATATGCACCAATTGACTCCTTCCATTTTGTAACTGATCATTCCCCATACCATTAAAACTATATCACCATGCAGAGGGCTTCATCAACACAATTTTGGGCTAAACCTTTATTTTGTCTACGGTATACCCTACACCATCTATCATGAGGCTGCAACAAAAATAAAGATTCGTCACTAAACCAGACATGTCTCCAATGATTGTCACTTGCCCAGGGATAATGCTGGTTGGCCCAAAAAAGTCGATTTTGGCAGTGGCGTCGCGTAAGGACAGGTCCTCGAACCCAAAGTCCAACATGATGCAGTCTCTACCAAACAGTTTGATCAGACACATGACGTCCTGGAGGCAATGCCTGTGCAGTTGAGAAATCTTGAAAACCTGTCTCTGAGGTGACAAAGCCGAATAAAGCAATTCTCCGCTGCTGTTGTCACTCTGGGTTGTCCACTGTGACGTTGGTCTTTAACTGAACCAGTGGCTTGGAACCGGTGCCAAAGTCGACCGATGGTACTCTGGTGCATGTTTTGATGCCTGGCAACCTGACTTTGACTTTATCCTGCATGAAATCAGCCAATAGTAACATTCCTTGAATTTACCGATAGAGGCGCCGTTCGTTTTTGTGTAGCGCTATCCTTTTATAGGGTTTCAATTGCGTAGGCAGCGAATAGTGTGTCACCGCAAATTGTGTTGCTTTCTCGTGCGCACATCGTGAGCTATGCTCACGAATATGGTCTTAAACACATTTGACCACTGCGTTGTAGTGATTACAAAAACGCACGCAATTCACGCCCATATGTCCACTGTAAACAACATTTGAGTCTGCTTTTCACATACCCGAGTACAGTATTTTATTTACAAACTAATAAAAACGCGCGATCGGATAACTATGCGTTTCCTTTTTTTTTTAAACAGTATAGATCAATCAGCAACTAATGGATGATGTCACCATCAAAATGCCCATCTTCACTTCCCATTACATTTTCTAATACACATTTTAGGCTTAGTTAACCCAAAAGATCAGGTAAATTTATATTCGGGAGAAAAAAAACAATGTAATGCGATATCCTTCTTGTTCACCAGATATATACTCTAGCAGAAAGTTCTGGTTGTTCGTCCACTTCTGGATTCTATCACTGTTCCAGAACCTGAGTATTGCCTGCATATCTCTTTTACAGATCTGACTTATTTGTACGTAGACTGTTGGTTCTTTGCCTCTCAGGCAGATACACTAAGACTTTGAAGGAAGCTCCCAATTAGTTGACTCTTACAAAATACTTTTGGGCAGGCAGTGGGTCTATTCTTTTTTCCCCTATAATAAGGATCCGGTACCCAAACAGGATATGCAATATTTAATTCATAGCCACAAAGCGGGAAAGCATGCGTGCCAGTTAAGGCACTGTCCCAGTTCACAATCTTTGGTACTAGATTGATTTACACAGTCAAACTGTTTATATTACAGAAGAACATAATTGTTGCTTGAGAAATGCAGGTCTTCAGAGAATTAACATAAGTTTCTTGTTAAAAACAAAAAAGTCACAACAAAAGCACAATTACAAATATAAAGGCTGAGGCAACAGAAATTATAAATGTGTAATACATACACCATGACAGAAATGGCTGATGCTACTGTTTGAAAAAATACTCTTTTCTCCACTGTTCTAAGAAACTAACCTCTCTTCTAAGGAACTAGTTTATTTTTTTACAAGTGTCCTGTCCTAGGGAACTAGCTTCTTTTTTTTACAACTGTCCTGTCCTAAGGAACTATCTTCTTTTCTCCAGTGTCCCAAGGAACTACCTTCTTTTCTCCACTGTCCTAAGAAACTATCTTCTTTTCTCCACTGTCCTAAGGAACTAGCTTCTTTTCTCCAGTGGCCCAAGGAACTAGCTTCTTTTCTAAACTGTCTTAGGAACTAGCTTTTTTTCTCCAGTGTCCCAAGGAACTAACTTCTTTTCTCCACTGTCCTAAGAAACTATCTTCTTTTCTAAACTGTCCTAAGGAACTAGCTTCTTTTCTCCAGTGTCCCAAGGAACTAGCTTCTTTTCTAAACTGTCCTAAGGAACTAGCTTCTTTTCTCCAGTGTCCTAAGGAACCAGCTTCTTTTCTAAACTGTCCTAAGGAACTATCTTCTTTTCTCCAGTGTCCTAAGGAACTAGCTTCTTTTCTCCACTGTCCTAAGGAACTAGCTTCTTTTCTTCAGTGGCCCAAGGAACTAGCTTCTTTTCTAAACTGTCCTAAGGAACTAGCTTAGACGGTGACACAGATGAGGAGGAGAAGGAAGAAATGCAGATAACTATCTGTCTTTTTAAAATGCAGACAAAGAAAAGACAGTCTGTTTAATTAACATTATATTATAATCATAATCTCAATGCCTCATCAAACACAGATATAGAAAGTATAATTTGAAAACTACTATAAAAAGGATACTTGGACTTGACTTCCCCTTCAAACCCATACATCTGGTTCATTGTTAAGCTCTCATGGTTGCCTGCAAAAAAAAAAAAAAAAAGTATATTCAGTGTTCTATACAGCATAAAGTATCTGTGAATCCTGCATCTGCTATGAAATCTGTATCAAATGGTTATTGTAAGTGTACACATATTTCACTAGAAAGTCAGCATATAACGGTTGTTGTAAATGTATACATATTTCACAGTAAAGATTGCAGGTAATCATAAATGTACACATATTTCACAGTAAAATCTACATATAATGACTGCTGTAAATGTATAAACATTTACAGTAAAGTCTGCAGGTAGTTGTAAATGTGTACATATTTCAATGCAAAGTCTGCAGGTAATGGCTGCTGTAAATGTACACATATTTTGCAGTAAAGAGTATGTAATGGTTGTAAATCAACAAATTCTTACTTTCCAAATAATATCAAAGATTAACCCTCATTCTTACTTTCTAAATCACACTAAAGATTTACCTTCATCCTTACTTTCTAACTCATACTAAATATTTACCTTCATCCTTACTTTTTAAATCCTATTAAAGATTTAACTTCATCCTTACTCTGTAAATCATACTAAATATTTACTTTCATTCTTTTATTCTAAATCAAACGAAAGATTCACCTTCACTGTTATTTTATAAATCACAGGGAAGCTTTACCTTCATTCTTATTTTCTAAATCACAAGAAAGATCTACCTTTATCCTTTTTTTCTCTTCCAAATCAAATTAAAAATGTATCTTCATCCTTAGTTTCTAAATCATACTAAAAATTTATCTTTGTCTTTACTTTCTAAATCACAATAAAGATTTACCTTCATTATTATTTTTTTGACCAAACATAATGTGTGCATGTGGATTAACTCACCTCTAGCCATGAAAAAATGGTTTGGGTACAGCAACTTGTAGCTGAGCAAAGTCATAATGCACTCTACAGAGAATGAACCTCTGTCAACAAAATCACCGTTGAACAGCTGATAGTTTAGGTTAAGAAACACCCAACTGACCAAACAGAAGTCATTCAAACAAAGGTCATCCCAAAAAAGCAGTCATTCAAACAAAAGCTAATCAAACATGAAGTCATCTAAATAGAAAAAAAAAACTGTCATTTTATATGCTGAAACTTTACTTGATTAATACTAATGAGACAAGATTTATTCAACACAGCAAATTACAAACTAGTAAAATAATGTTTATTAAAAAAAAACCTAAAAATAAAACACCATAACAAATTTTTGTTTTAAAAAAAAGAAACAAGTAACAAAACAAATATTTTTTAAAATGCCAAAAATGTTAGAAAGATTAAGCCAAAATAAAAACAAATTGGCAAAAACATAATTTGCAGGCAGGAAGTAAAAGGCAAACAGAAAAGAAAAGGATACATATGGATTTTCTTCTGAAGGCTTGCCGTTCATTTTGAAGATATTAAGCAGATCATAAAACTGACCATGAATGTCACCACAAATGGTAAACTTTGATTTCTGAAAGTAAACAAAGGCAATCAATTTTAATAATAATTTCACAGCCGCAGTGACTGCTTCAATTAAGTGAATGAATATCCCTGTGAGCTGGGATTGCCTTCCGGTCATGATCTTCATGCGCCTAAATGTCGAGCTGAATCTGATATCTTCTACTTCTGTGTTTACCCTTAAAAGGTAAGGTACAAAACAACCCCCCCCCCCCCCCCCCCCCAAGAAACCACACTAGGAGAATTGCCGATTGTACTTTTTAATGTCATACCTATGTATCTCTGTGGGAGAGTTTACAAGTAAACTATCTGTTTATAGAACTTCACATAACCATGCTTTTCCCCACTAGCTTCACTATTATATACCCTGTGGTATTCTTGAGCAATTTCCAGAATTTTCTAAGATTTGTTTGGGAAGGAAAGACAAAGAGGAAGAGAACTGCCCCCTGTTCTCTTGAAAAACATGTCATACAAGGTGACTAATTAGGGATGCTTTCTTTGAAGTTAGAGTATATCTGCCTGAGAAGTGAGGAACCAGTCTGCATATAAACGAGCCAGATCTGTAAAACTGATGTGCATGCAAAACTAAAGTTCTTTTTACAAGGCTAAAGTCCAAAAGTAGATGATCAACTGGAACTTTCTGCAACAATTTACAGACGATAAACAGAAGGAAGAAGAATCAACACGGATCTCTGAAGGTAAGAATACTAGCTCAAGAGACTAATAAGGTAAAAAAAATAATGCGGTAATATGGACAATATAATCTATAATACAATCTGGAAATAAAGTATACTATGCCCTTCAACATCTGCTAAAATCAAAGTGTCTGTCCCACAACACCAAGATCAAAATATAGACCAACAATAGTAGAAAATATCATCTGAAAGCTGTTTCAACTGAAAAGACCTAGTTCAAAGAAGAAACTATAGATCTCTTGGGAGGCAGTGTGCAAATCCCAAATTCGCGAACAGAAAGAAAATCAAAAGTATCTTAAGATACTCAACTGCTGCTTTCCCACTGCAGAATTACTGTGAACAAGCCATCTCATTTAGAACTGGCATTTAAATGGAACAGTTCAGTTCCCCATCAAAAAACAGTATCTATCATCCACAGCCACCTCTCAGTAGAAACAATATATAGGCATAGACAACAGACCTGACTCAATGTAACTTCACAGACAGAACTAAGGTGCCATGTATCTACTCACATTCGGAACATCAATGTAACTTCAGACAGAACTAAGGTACCATATATGTACTCACATTTGGAACATCAATGTAAACTAGGGATTCCTGCTGACTGAAAATTTTCTTGGCTTGTATTAAAATCTGAAACATAAATATTTGTTAAATGTCTATGCTATCCAGATAGTTATCTCTATGTAAGAATTTCACCGAACAGGTACTGACATGAGAAATAAGAGGAATTGCAGAAACAAGGACGTCCCAGAGGCGAACACCAATGAGAGAAGCCGAGTGTGGATTTCATACATGATAATGAAATGATTGCACAGGATAGAAGAGAATGGAGGAATAGACTGCGATCCTTATGTGACATACAATGGCACAATAGGACAATGAATGAATGAATGAATGAATGGTTTAGACATTTGTTGACTTTAAAATAATGCAAGTTGGTCTCATTAAGTCGAACACACACACACAAACATGAATAACGAGTAATAATAGCAACAAGGGATATATGGGCTAAAGTATGAAATGGATGAGAATGAAAAGTATTTGATGTAAAGAGTAACAATAAATGCATGATACTTTTGTTGGTATTTTAAAAAAAAACACTGAACACAGCACAGATAATAACAACTGTCTAACAAATAACAAAGTACAGGGCTCCAAATGGTCAAACTGAACTACACCTCTGGGCTCATCAAGGAAATAAGCTCCCCCCCCCCCCCCCCCACCAGGAAAGGCAATAGACAGGAGCAACATTTTCTTTAAGACTGGAATGCCTGTGCAAAACAAATCATGTCGATGAAACTCACTGCCAGGGCACTCAGGACGAGGTTTCAAATTGTGCTGACAGCATCACAACTGAGTCTGGTCACAGAAAATCAACTGAGAGCCATTTTTCCAAAATGCCACGACGCGCATACAAATATATTTACCTGGCATACATATTTCTTTGGAAGCTTCTTCTGATCTTTGTAAGCTTCCAGGAGATCGTCGACAAACTCTTTGGTCACTTTGCCATCTTGTAAATGTGGCCCATCATAGCTTGCTTCAATTACTGAAAGACGACAAGCACAAAACAAAGTTGCTTAGTAAATCATTCCCCCTTGCATCATTAATGAAACAAATAAGTATTTTAAAAATAAATTGAAACACATAAATTTCTGATAATTCTTTGCAACTTGTAAGTACTGCTGTTCTTAAATATCAAATGAATTGACAAATGTTACGTTAATCAACACTGTTTAACACTACATGATCCTGAACAATGAACTAATAACTAGAAATGTGTTCTGAGACTCCTAGAAAATATGTTACATTTCATGGAAATACACACAGGTTCTAGGCAGAGATTAAAGACATACAAATCACCATTGTGTCTGCTGTGCCATTATATATCACACAGGGCTCACAGTCTATTTCTCCAGTTCATTCTCTTCGATATCCTGCAAGGAATCCAGTCCAGCAACTTTGGCCTTTCTCATCAATGCCATTTTAGGGTTTATTTTTCTGAATCCCTTAATTTCCCATTTTAGTGCCTGTCTGGTGATTCTCTCATTTCTTTTCAGAATGTGTCCAATAAAGTGTCATCTTTTTTTTTCTATAAAGAGTGGTTGCATTGCATTGCATTGGAAATCGAAAAAAAAACAGAAAACTTCGGACGGCTTCAACCTGCCTCTGGGGCTTGGTTTTATTTGCGTCCTGGTGTCTTTGCGGTTTAAACTTCTTTGTTACGTCTGGTTGTAGCTTTCCTTGGTGTTTCGCAACTATGGCTTGAGTTGTGGATGGGCGGTATACTAGTCCTGAGAAGGACTAGTAGAATATGCCGGGCGTGGCCTATATGGGGGTGGGTGGGAGTACATCTGGCTTGTCGAGCATTCATGTCTGGCTGGTGTTACGCAGGTGGGCTTTCCGGTCCGGTGATCTGGGTTTTGGCAGGTGTCATGGCGGCTTGGGCGGTTCTGGTTGGCTGATGGCTTTGGGTTCATCGGTCGGTTCGTCTGCTGGGTTTGGTTGGCAATCTCATCTATTCGGTCGTTTTTTGTGGTTCTTTCGCCTTACAGAGTTTCGCATGGGCTGCATTGAGTTTGTCCCACATTACAAGGAAACTCATGGCAACTGGGTCTAAGTGGCCCGACTGGTGCTCGGCCCTCCTTGGCTAATGTTTCCCTGCAGTACTGTATCTTGTACTCGCCACTGACAAAGTTGATTCCGTGTGGGTGCATGGCCTGGTTGAACCTCTCTCGCATTTCTTTGATGGAATCCTCAATGGCTTCTTTCCCCTCTTCCGCACTCTCTCCCTCTGGTTCTCCCTTTTTTGCCGCTTGAATTTGATTTCTTCTGGCCGCTGACTTCCTGGCATCCTCTCGAATTTCAATTACTATGTTGGTGGCTGCTAGGTCCTTTTCTACTTGTTCATTTGCTTTGCTGACTTTTGTAATCTTTGCTTCTAGTGCTGCCAGTGTTTTCTTCGTATTTGCCGCTTCGGCCTGACTGGTCTCGGCGCTTTCTTCTTTTTGTTTCTTGAGATCAGTTAGGACTGCTAGGAGGTCGCACTTGAATTTCCCCATGTCTGCTAGCTCGATCTCCTGCCGTTTCTGGGTTTCTAGTAGCAGTCTCCTTATTTCGATGTTTTCATCTCTGTCTAGATCTTGCTTCGTTTTGATGGTAGCGTTTTCTTTTCGTAGGGCCTCGATCTCTTTTTTTAAGGTAGAGATTTCGGCCTGGACTTGGTTGGTTTCTGTGTGGTCTCGCGGCCTGGGCACATGGTAGCTCTGTCTGTCCCCTGGGCGACAGTAATGTCTGGTGGTGGTTGCTGTCCGTGATCTCTTACAATCCTTGATGTATGGGCATCCCTGGTATCTCGCGCTATGGGGGCCTGACCAGTTTGAGCACCTTCTGTTCGAGTTGGGCTTTTTGAAGTCGGTATCTTTCTTTGCTAGGCTGCACTCCTTGAAGTTGTGAGGTCCGGTGCAGTAGCGGCACAATGGGCTGCTGCGGCAGGTTGCGGCGGTATGCCACGCCCTGTTACAGCGTGAACACTGGGTGATCTCGGGTGAGTAGGTACCGTTCTGCTGCTTCGTCTGTGGCTGACTTATTCTCCCTCTCTGCGTCACATCTGGGGTGGTCTGAGTAACTGGCATCATCTCAACAGGAGTCTGCGCCTCGGCTGGGGTCGCTTCTAGGGTTGGTAGCGTCTGGGTCTCTTCTGCTGGTGCTTGGGTAGCCGTCCCCTGCGTCTCAACTGGGTCGCTGCCCAGACATTCTCTTATTTCATCATCATTATATTTTCCTCAGGCATTTGTTTTCAAATGCATTTAACTTTCATTTCATAAACATACAAATCAGACAAATTAAATATTTCAGCTATATTAAAAAGATATATGATACACTTATAAGAACTATGTCAGAAAGTATCACCTGGGAGAGAGATGCAGAGATACACTGTAACCACACATGCCATGGTTGGTGCGAGCTGGTTCCTAACATTTACACCTATTATCACATCCAGCATGCAACAATGACAAGTGAACAGGATCCTGAAGCTTACAGAAAACACTCAAGACTCACCTAAGCTATTGATATCAATACTGTCTGCTACACACTTCCCATCGTCACTAGCAATTGCTTTTTCAAAAGCAAGTCTTTTACATATTTTATTGCATTCATCATATTTCATGCGAGCATCCTTATCATTTGGACGTGCCTTTGTCACCTGAAAAACAAACATATGTTGGAATATTCCATCTGCAGAAATGTAAATTATTAAACAAATATTTAATTTAAAAACAAGAGGTTTTTGGTTTGAAGAACTGAGGAAACAGCACTCTAGACAAACTCACAGATGCTGTCTTCCTCAGCTAATGCCTAATGATTAAATGATAATTCCTGTAAAAGGCTGCTTGAAAACATGCTGGATCCCTTCTCTTGTGCACCCCCCCCCCTCCCTGCTGGGAACACAGCGAAATCCAAACTCAAGTAGCTAACAATGTTTTCATCTATCTCCTTTGTCTAATATGAACATTCCAAAAGATGTTTCGGAAAGCCAACATTCCAAGTGATGCTGCTTTGTAAAGCCAATATATATGCTTACTCTTTTCCTAGCATTCCAGCATGACCTGCAAGTACTTGTAAGAGATAAGCACCTTATACTTGTATCTGTCACCTGCTCATGTCACATCTGTGAATTTTCAGTGATTTCTGTCGTCATAACTGAGTCTGAAGAAAGCTGTAAATGCCCAACAAAATGGGCTGTCAGTGTATACTACACTGGTGTCATGCTAACAGATTCATCAACACATTCTTCTGCTTGTGCCATTAACCCCCCCCCCCCCCCCCCCCCCCCCCCCCCCCCCCCTCTTTTCCACAGGCCCTCAACCAATTCACATCAAAAGTAATCCTACCCTTTGCCACTGTCTGCATCTCACACTACTACCCCTCCTCTTTATATTTTTTTTTTAAAGGGACAGAAACGTGCTGATCAGAATTGTCAAAATCCGCAGACCTAGAGAGACCTTCACAGTATGGACCTAACTCACATGCAGATCATAACATATCTAGGCAGATAAGAAGAAGAAAACAAATGGAAACAAGAGATGGAAGAGAGATGCAATAAAGCAAATTAAATTACCGCAGAACAAACATGTAACAACTGACACCTAAACAGCAGTATTCAGTATTTTTTTAAACCAACATTTAACACTCTGTTACCAGTGCCAAACTTGAACAATAATGACAAAAGAAAGAGAAGTCAAAACAGAAATGAATGTCTATGATAATTTCTAAATGCAACAAGCAGAGACAGGATCAGAAGAAATAAAAAGATCAGAAAACAAGATGGGATAGATCTGGATCCAGTGCTAAACTACTTCAAGAAACAACAATCAAATGGTTCAGACATGTGTGAAGAAAAAGTGCACTTCACAAAGCTATGTCACCTAGATACAATGGAAGCAGATATAGTGGCTCATGCAAGAGATGAAATATCCCAGTTCACCAATACCATCATCTAGGTAGCACACACCAAAGCTTGCACAAGACGTCAAAATATATAAATACATATATAATATTGACCCAGTGCTGCGAAAAATGAATCCTACACATACATACAGATACTTACTGCTTCAAAATCTTTCAGTGCCAGCTTAAATTTCCCCAGTGCCATATTTGCAGATGCCCGTCTATAATAAGCCTGTAAAGAAAATTGTTTTACATTTTGAAAAAAAATCCATCCTAACAAGACATTAAACAACTGACTCACAGAGCATGTTGAGAAAGGTGGAATCAGGTATGCTCTGTGCAGAGTGGGAAATGAGGAGGCAGATGGACTGGCCGGTTCTACACCACTTGGTAGTGAACTGATGTATGACAAGCTAGATGCTGTGAGGGCCCTTTGGGAGCGAGTGAACAGTGCAGAGGCTCAAACAGACCATTACGGTCTGAGGAGAATGGCGCTGCGGGGAATTGCCCGGTGATCTGGATCAAGGGAAAGGCAAGACAGATATACAATCAGACAGTTACTGGTGCCATTGGAATTTGAACTCTTTGCTTGTTGCTGAAAATGGGGACAGAGCACTTATGGGAGTATCCTGAGTGTTATGTCAATTCTAAATTCAACAACATGACATTAAACACACTAATAATCTATGTACTTCTGTATAAGAAAATCATCAAATCTTATTTTCTCACCCTCTTCCCTTTAACCTCTATCACCACAAGAAGGCTCAATCTAACCACTTCCGGTTGTGACACAGCCCTGTAAATGCTGATATATTACCATTTCTGCAAAGTCCTGTTCTTAAAAAGTGTAATTAAATGGCATTGGTTCTATTTGCACCAGCATATGTTCAGGAGACCAGGATGTGAATATGTTCATTAAATTTTGCTTTTAAAGGACTTCCTTGCAAATCTAATAGCTTTTTTAAAGACATCTTGACATAAATTTTCCTGTAAGCCTCAGTGATGTAGGTCACTGAGTCAGGGCAACAGTCACCCAATACACATTTGTTTTAAGTCTCTGTGCATATATTCCCTTTATTACTCCATTTGTTCTTATTTACTGACTACTCACTTTATATATATCCCCCCCCCCCCCCCAATGTATATAAATAAATTTTAAAACAAATTATTTTTCCTTTGTGTAGGATATTTTTTTTTCTCTCCAAAAATTCTCAGGGTTTCATGAACCTTGTTTATTAGCATTCATAAGATGAAAAGGTTTGTGCTCGACCAGATACTCTTTTATCTGAAGACCATGACTGGACTTGGACTGTTCAGCTAAAGTTACATAGTTTTAGGCAGATAGCCTGGAGGCAACACTCCCTATTCAGCTCATATGACACAGGTCATAAAAAAGGCTAGGAGGTGTTCATTGCATTGCTATAAAGGCAAGTCACGGGTTATTATAACACCTGCAACTCTAGTTTTCTCTAGAGATGTATATGATAGTAGAGTAACCCACATACAGTGTAGCTCTGTACAGTTTCAAGACAAACTCAATAGATAAGCAAGGGGAACAAATGCTCAAACTAACAGATTTAACTAAACGTCAACAACAATATTTATCAAATTAATTAATCTAATTTGTTTGCAGTTTCAAACAGTACATGTTCACGTGTTTTATCTAAATCACACCAACATCTAGCATCCACTTCAAAGCAGGAATGGGCAACAACAAAAAACTGTCCCATTGAATGCTTTACACTTTCATAAACCAGTGAAAAAACTTCAATACATCACAACTCATCCACACAGGACTGCAGGTCATATCTGGCTAGTGCAGTCGTTACAGGTGCCCTAACTGCAACTTCTTTGAATGCTGATTGGAGTATCTGGGATTTGCCCGGTTGGTCTGCCATCTAGACTGAAATGTTTAAATTTCAGGATGGTATGGTAAACTTTTAGGTAGAAGTTCAGAGGGGTCAAACATGGATCAAGCACAACTCTTACCAGCCTTGAAAAGTTAAATAAACAAGGATAGAAACTGATGGAGCTTTTACAGATGCCCTAACTATAACTTCATCAGAAGTCTCTGTGATTTGCCCATACATAAAGTGTGCATCCCCCACATCTGACCTGTAAACAGAGGAGTGTCCTCATACAAATGTGTTATATGACTGAATAGGGTTTTTAGGATTTGCTCATACTTTATTCTTGGGGGTGTCCTACAGACAGCAATCCTGGAGGGAAACAACTGGTCATCCAGGATGTAACTACTGTACCAGCAGGGGTGTCAAACCTTCAAGCAGCAGCCCAGAAGAGAGAAGAAAGTCAACTACAACAACCCCAAACTCCAGGGAATAGCTCCAGAAAAGCAGCCTTTCTACAGAGCTGGACAGTCATCAATATACAACTCCACACCTTTAGGACAGCAATATAATACTTTATATTATTTGTGCATTCAGGAAAAACTGGCACTGGAACCCTAAAGGTCAGGAGAATAAATGCAAAACAAATGACACAAGAAGAAGTGAATTAGGCAGCGAAGTGAAAAAGATGAGGTTGGCTACACATGAGAGCTAAAAATAGGATGACCTGGTGAGAACGGGTTGAGGGCAGATGCTCCACTGAGGAAAATGGGCAACAAAAGAAGACGAAGAAGAAAAACTATAAGAAACTCAAATTCAGGAAACGGCTCCAGTAGAGTATTACCTTCCTAAGTCTACAGTTGGGCTGTCAGCAACTCAGTAGCTTTAAAACTGCAATCAAGGTCCTTTTCTTATGTACAATGATATAAATTAGTTACCTTTAAATAGTTCTTGTCAAGGGCTAATGCTTTTGAAGCATCTGAAAGGGCATATCCAAAACATTCTGTCCGTAGATATGCAAAACTTCTGTTCCCATAGTAGGCTGCGACAAATGGGTTCAACTTGATGGCTTCTGAGTATTTATCGATGGCTCTGGTGTAATCTTCATCTATGAAAAATATACATGTGTGTGCAAGTGTTAATATTATATATATATATATATACATATATATACATATACATATATATATATATATATATATATATATATATATATATACATTATATATATATATATATATATATATATATATATATATATATATATATATATACATTATATATATATATATATATATATATATATATATATATATATATATATATATATATATATATATATATATATATATACATATATATATATATATATATAAAATTTTAATAATAATGAACAGATCATGATCTCAGACTGCCTAATTATGTTTTACCTCCTAATTTCAGTTAGCATATTACATACCTGTATTGTACATGACTTTAGTCTAATTATATTATCAGCCATTGTGGAGTCTTCTCAGTGAAGCAGTTAACCTACTCACCTCATATTTTGAAGATGTGGGTTCATTTTTGGACTCTGCCCTTCTATTTGAAGGTGCAAGTGCTTTAGAGATTGATAAAGCTATAAGCTAGGCACTATGGGCAAGAATTTCAGTATTTAAATGTCCACTCTTCAGAGAAATTGAGCTAATTCTAAAATCTGGATAAAACCTGGTGCAATTCAGTCAGTGAATCCTCTCACCTTTACATACCCCTTTGTATATGGGCATTTACAGATCCCTTCTCATATATAGAACAGTCCAAGAAGCCAGCAGTGCCTTCTCCATGACTACTAGCAGCATGACAATGGAGGTGATGGCAACGACATAAGCTTTCATGTGGCTAGAATTACAGGATTATTTTCACATGTATGTGTGCGCGGTGATTCTATGAGCATGATCCGGCAGTGTTGGCAACGAAACAGCTGATAGATTAGCAGGTTCCGCATTAATTGCAGATGACCAGCCCATGGATCATAAAGACATTGTCAATGCCCTTAAAAAGACAGGACGTTCCGAGGATTTTTGAAGCAGCGTGTCCATGTCACTGCTAAGAATACGAGAAATGGGAGTAAAGATCAGCACAGCCAAGCATGAGAAGCACACCAGATGCACATGAGGTCTTGTCAACCAGCACAGCACTGACACTATTAACTGCGCGATGCTGATAAATATGTTGAAGTGAAGGGGGAATCTGAGCACCTATGGATGTGTCCAGAGTGATATGAAGATAATCCAACTCATAACCCTCCAAGATTCATTTATTTTAGAAATGTACACACCAGCTGAAAGTGAAAGTTAAGACAAAAGGACAGGCTTCACTGCACCAAGTTATCCCATGATATACTATTACAGCTATAGCTTAGTCCCTCTCCACAGATCAGCTAGCTGGCCCAATGTTATGACAGTTATGTAAGTGTGTAAAGAAGCTTGACTGAAAGCTGAATATAGTTTTAGTTTTGTACTCTTGGATTATATTTTTCCACACTGCATTTTATACATATTCACAATAATATTCAGATCCTTCCTTTTTTTAACATGAAAAACTACCTGTTACCTGCTAATGCTACGAATACTACCAGACTGATGACTTACTGGTTCAACTAAATATTAATATTTCATAATTGGATGATCATGATGACCAGACCATAAACATGGAACCATATTACCATAGAGATCATCAGATCTAAATAGGCTGCTGTTACAATTACTCAGTTACACAGGGTTTCAAAAAAGGCAAAATGTCGCAAAGTGTGTTGCCTTGTTTTGTTTCTATTTCTACGCTTTGGCACTTAACTGGTTAATCTAGCACTACTGGCCAGCTGTGATCTTTATTTTATAAACAGAAATACAACAATAAAAGTATTTAAATAATACCGCTACTGAAATGAAATTTCTAATAAAAATATTAAAATAATTAATACCTACTGGAACTAAATATTAGTTCTTATAATGATTTGTAAAGGTAAAGCAATTACAATACAATAAAGGAAAGGACACAAGTAAACAATGATGATGATGTTCAATCATTTATTAACAACACTACCTACGTCACCCCTATACAAATTAAAATGACCCATGCTTACTTTTGAAGAATAAATTGGCTTCTTCTTTCAGTTCTTCTGCTTTCTTTTTATCCTCCTCGCTAATGGCATCGAGATCTGTAGGCAGTTCTTCATTTGATTCTTGAATATTAGTATTTTCGTTCCCCATGGTATCCGCCATGCTTGGTTTCGACAACTAAGGGATGTAATCCACACATTGTTGTTTACTCCTTAAAAAATAAGAAATGCCTCATGAGCGAAACAATTCTTTATGTTCAGTCAGACACGCAGACATCCACACTCCTCTCTCTCTCTCTCTCTCTCTCTCTCTCTCTCTCTCTCTCTCTCTCTCTCTTTTTTTTTTTTTTCTCTCTATCTCTCTCTCCTGTCGCTCGCACACGTACACACACTCTCTCTCACGGACACTTACATGTACCATTCCGAAACCCAAGTTCAAGGTTCTCCTTCGTGCCAAAGAACTGCATGGCTGTTGGGTGAACAGTCGTAAACGAAGGCAGTCAGGTAGTTGTAGGGGCGACGCTTGCTGGTAGATGTAATGTCCTAAGTCCCTTCCCCAGCTAATAGTGAGGGTACTGCTGGGGTACCCATTTATTAACCCTCACATAATGCTTCAGGTCAAACTGGACGCTAGGAACGGACACTTTTTTTTTTTTTAGCCGTGGCAAATGTTTTTTTTTTTTTTGGTGTGTGTGTGCTTCTGCCAGGCGGTGACCGTTGCATTTTTGCTCCCTTTGTAGACTGGAAGTATATAGTTTCGTCGCCCAGCTTCTGAGTTGAGTGCATGGCGTGACACTGTGAGCTATGTGTGTTTTTCGTTGGCACAGGAGCGGAGCAGCTATGGGGTGACCCGTTTGCTATGAAGCTGAAACTAGGATTACTAGATTACATATACCAATTTCATTTTAAACTGGACACTCTGCGAACACGCCCGTGTGGCATCGGGGCCCTCACGGGGAGCAAAGAATAGTGACACTACACCCTACCAGGCATGTCGTAAAAGGCGACTAAGGGTAGGGTTGGGCTTGAGGTTGGCTACCTCATCCTATAAAAAAATTGTCACAAAAACCAACTAACCATGGATACGTCAAAAAGAGAAGCAAGTAAAACCCAGCCAACCAAGACGAGGGAAGGCTCTTCAAACAGAAGAAGTATGACACGGTGTGGAGAAAGCCGTAAGGAGTCCAGATAGTCGACGTACCTCCTCTCAGCTAGGAAAACCTCCAGAATTGGCACCTGGAATGTTAGAACTCTCTATGATATACGGAGAACAATGGAAGCAGCAAAGGAAATGAAATATTATAGAATGAGTATTTTATTGTTATGTGAAACTAGATAGACTGGGGCGGGGAAAAGTATTCTAAATTCAGGGGAAACTGTTTTGTTCTCAGGACACACAGAGGAAAATTCGCGCCACAGAGAAGGAGTGGTCCTGATGCTATCGAAAGAAGCAGACAGGGCACGAATAGAATGGGAAGCTGTGAGTCCCAGAATAATAAGAGCATCTTTTAGAACAGTGAAACAGAAGGTGAATATGTCGGTAATACAGTGTTACGCACCAACAAATGATAAAGATGCATCTGTTAAGGAAGAATTTTACATGCAGCTTCAAAATTTTATAAATAATGAAAGAAAAGGCAATTAAAAAATTTTGATGGGTGACCTGAATGCTAAGATGGGATCAGACAACACAGGTTATGAAAAAAATATGGGAAGACATGGTATAGGAGTAATGAATGAAAATGGAGAATTGTTCACACATTTTTGTGCAGGTAACCAGTATGTTATTGGTGGAAGTATTTTTCCCCATAAAAGAATACACAAGGCAACATGGGAATCACCAGACCATAAGACAACTAATCAAATTGATCCCCTATGTATTAACAACAAGTTTAGATCATCCCTTTACGATATTAGGGCTTTCATAGGTGCCGATGTATTTAGTGACCATTTCCTGGTGGTAAGTAAAATCAAGTTGAAACTAAAAAAGATATATAACATCTTATAATCATAGAAACCAATATAATGTAGGTTATCTCGGGGATAAAGAAGTTAAGGAACAGTTTTCAGTTACAGTCTCTAAGAAGTACAGGTGTTGCAGCAGTTAGCTGAAGATGTCTGCTGGGATCAGATCAAAGGAATCTGGAATGCATCTTGCGTAGAGGTTCTTGACAAGAAAGAAAGGAAACATAAAGCGTGGATAACACCAGAAACCATTAAACTGATTGAAGATAGGAAAAGTTAAAAGGCAGACTTGAACAATAGCAAAACTAGAGCTGCTAAAGCTACAGCTCAGGATAAATACACAGAAGCCAGTAAGAAAGTTAGGAGGCTTATAATGGCAGATAAAGTGAAATATCTAAATGATCTAGCACAAGAGGCGGAGACAGCAGCAGCAAAAGGCAACCTCAGAGAACTTTACAGTAACACAAGAAAATTAATAGGTAAATATAGTCAGCCAACTGGATCAATCAAAAATAGTCAAGGAAGGGTGCTTACTAACACTAAAGATCAAATGGACAGATGGGTTGAATATTTCGAAATGCTTCTAAATGGACCAGGTCCAGAGGTTCCCGCAGATATCCAGCCTTTAGAAATGGAACTGGATACCAACTGTGAGATACCATCCAAAGAGGAAATTAGAAAAGCTATCAATCTTCTCAAGGAAGGAAAGGCCACAGGCCCAGATGGTATCCCAGCTGAAGCCATCAGGGCCAACATAAACACATCAACAGAATTGCTACATAGATTATTTAGTTCAGTCTGAGAGACCGAAGAAATACCAGCAGACTGGAGAGAAGGATATCTTGTGAAACTGCCCAAAAAAGGTGATCTACATGAGTGTGAAAACTGTAGGGGAATTATGTTGCTGTCAGTTCCTGAAAAAATATTAAGTAGAATTATTTTGGAAAAATTAAAAGATGCAATTGATAAAAAGCTAAGAGATGAATAGGCAGGTTCTCGGTCAAACAGATCCTGTACTGACCAGATAGCCACATTACGTATTTTAATAGAGCAAAGCATTGAACTGAACTCACCACTTTACACTGGATTTATAGACTATGAAAAAGCATTTGACAGCATTGATAGGGAATCTCTCTGGAAATTGATGGGGCACTATGAAATCCCACAGAACATTATTAACTTAGTAAAGGCTACATATAAAGACATGAAATATCGAGTTCTTCATAGGGAAAAGCTAACAGATACATTTGAAATAAAAACAGGTGTGCAACAGGGATGTCTTTTGTCGCCTCTCTTGTTTTTACTGGCTATAGACTTGATTATGACAACAGTAACTGCTAACACCTAGAATGGAATTTAGTGGACCGATAAAAAACAGCTTGATGATCTGGACTTCGCTGATGATATTTCTCTTCTGTCCTATTCAAGGAATTAGATGCAAGATATATTAAATATACTAGATGCCAGATCACAGCAGCTTGGTCTGAAAATCCAAAAAAGAAAGACAAAGAAAATGAGAATAAATCAGGCAAAAATTAATGTGGTTTCCCTAAATGGCACCCCACTCCAAGACGTGGAGTCGTACACCTATTTGGGCAGTAATGTAGGTAAAGATGGAGGAACTATATTAAAAAAAAGTATACAAAAGGCAAGAGGAGCTTTCATAGCACCAGGGAATTTGTGGTCAAAACAAATTAAAAGAAATACTAAACTAAAAAAAAAAATTTAATGCTAATGTCAAATCAGTACTTTTGTATAAGGCGGAAACATGGAGAACAACTAAGGCAATTACTAAAAAACAACAAACATTCATTAACTGGTGCCTGGGCAGAATAGAAGGAATTAAATGGTATGATAGAATAACTAATGTAGAGCTTTGTGAAAGAACTAAACAAGCTCCAGTGGAAAAGACGCTGGCGTTGGATAGGACACACACTGAGAAAACAGGAGAACAGCATAACTAGAATGTCTTTGCATTGGAACCCAGAGGGGCATAGGAATAAAGGAAGGCCAAAAAACACATGGAGAAGAGAGCTGGAGAATGAAGTTAGAAAGATGGGGAGAACATGGGGAGAGCTCCATGCAATGGCGAAGGATAGAACGACTTGGCGTGAGTTGGTTGAGGGCCTATGCTCCATTGGGGGATAGAAAAGCAGAAGAAGAAGAATTATTTGTTTGTTACCACTTCTGTGTCCAGCCATCACAACAACGTCGTCATAGCACTGTGATCGACAATCTTCTAGTTCCATTACATTTTCTTTCTCTAGCTGGTTTAAGATGTCTTGAACCAAATTCATAGCATACTTCTGGTTCATCTGGATAAAACAAAGAAGGGGTTTTTAAACACAGACCTCTTTCCTCTAAAAATCAGCTTCCACGTACGTCACTACCTCTGACATCTAACTGTGTGCTTGATCAGGAGTCGAGCCAAACTACGATGTCATAGTGGACCTACTTGACTCTACACACGCTTCTCGATAAACTCTGGCAAACAGGGGATGCCATCAGGTGGATGAATGCATTCTGTGCAAAACAGGAAAGACACACCGTGCATCTAGCATGTTCTCTCACATATGTCAAGTGTTCTTTTATGAGTGTGTAAAATAGTACAGCCTGTAGTTTCAATAAGCCAAGACAACTGCATACACTGGAGCATGATTGTCTTGCTGAAGTAATTCTCCGTGTCCAAGCAAAGCTTGGTTTTGAGTTGCAGGTAATTTTATGCTGGGGAGGATTTTTGGCACGATAACACGCCACTTCTGCTTTACCAATGAGCACATGTTGTATTTTTTGACGTTGAAAGAGATAGCAAACGTGTACTGTGTACTGCTACAGAAAGAATGACTTTGTTTGGCCAGGCTACGGAACATATTTTTTATTTAAATCAGGGATATGTTTATATTTGAGTACTTTGGCGTTCTTCTAACCGTCTTCAACAAATTGAAACTAATATGGACCATCACTTGTATATATAAAAAGTGTTTTCGCGCTCCATTCAAATAGCACCCAGGGCGTCTGTCCTACCAGGTCCGTCTATATATAAATAGAGAAGACCATGGTCCTACCTTACTGACAGATTCATTGTCCTCAGTGCAGATGTTAAAAACACATAAAACTAGCAGTAGACCAGATATTAAAGAAACAATCCTAAATCTAACAACCCAGCTCAAGAATAAAGGATGCAAAGTCACCATTGCA